ACTCCGTGCTGAGCTTTCATCCATCATGTGATGGACATCGTCAGAGCCAGAAACCATTCTTCTCGAAAAATCATCATAAAACACTAGACCTTTCTCGGTTTTGGGTTTAGCTCCCGCCTTCTCGAACGAAATAAAAGGTATAGCAGCATCAATATAATAATTTCTTCTTCGAAACCCAGCTCCTCTTCATAGTCATACTTTAATCTGAAAATCTCATCTCCCGTTTTACACGAATGTGAACTTCAATGAGAGAATCCAGTCTTCCCCTTCCTATTTTGAAAGACGAAGGCAAATCTGGAAAGCTGAAGTACAGCCAGACAATATGCAAGTATGACAATCCAAGCAAACTAGACAAATAAACTTCAAGTTCTAGTTCAATCTCGAGGAGATATTTTTTCCATGTATAGAATAAAAGTTTGCGTCTTATTTGAAACCAAGCCGGTATACTATTAGTACCCCTTGCATAACGTTTTTGCAATCATCGTTCCAGTAGCCTAGCGAGGTTAATTAAAAACCGAAAATTGCCTCAAGCAATAAAAAATTAATGACAGTGTTTTAACATCCGTGCCAGCAGGCTCAGAGATTAAAAATTGCAAAGAGGCCTGGTGAATTCTGGATGTGGCTGAAATGTTGATCCGACCAGGATGGAAAACCCAACCTACAAATAGGCATCAGAAAAAAATCTAAATGAATCAGAATCGAAAAGCTCTAGTGATCCGTTTTGGCAAAGCATACCTATTGAGTCCTGAGTCTGAACCAATTAATGTAAGTTTAAAGAACCAGAAAGTTGAAGCAAAGGGATTGTCGATCTTTCCATCAATTCTTACTCTATCTAAGCCAATTGGGTTGCTCAAATCCAGGATTTCCCTTCAGCGGGTTTTTGAGTCTGAACTCACCAGCTCAAGCGAGCCACGTTTGCATACACAATATAAACTCACAGCTTATGGGGGAAAAGGGCCGGAGCGTCATTAAAATGGCAACTATTCGTCACTACAAAAGCTGATAAATATCATGCTGGAGAAGAACGCACTTTGGGGATAAAAATTACTAGTCAAATTTGTTGATAATTAATTTTCTTATATTATTAAGCCTAAGTCTCATTCAGTTCATTCGGAATTAACTAAATAAGTTTGCATGCGTTCAAGCTCGCACAACACAGATTTGGCTGTAAATTGTCTCCAAATCATTGAGACAATTATTATTTATTCATTTTAATGTTATAATTTGAAGGAAAAGTTAACTCACTCTATGTAGAATATGTGACCTTTAGTAATAGAGGAGACCTTTTCGTAAAGTATAAATGATACAAGGCTGTATTTAGATGGTTCTCTTAGTGATTTCATCCCGAATGAAAAGTTGAATGAAGCTGATTCGTAAATTCATCTTTAGCAAAACCTGACGGAGGATATTTTTGAAGTTGTGAATACTAAATGGTGCAAAAAAGTGCTTGGGTTTCTGGATTCGACTTCAATGAATCTGTGATAAACTGTTGCTCATCTTGCCCAGTCGTGACTTTATGTATGTCGTTGAACTGACTTCCATTTAAATGGAATTTGTACGATCTGGCCACCATAAAAGGACAAGGTATTTTCTCTTGTCCACTTTTCGTTTAGCTCTAGTGATACCCTTTAAGTGACATGGTCATCGAGGAAACGATCTTTGATTCCTGTCTAACATGCTGCCTGACAGACATGATCAGAGCTTGGCCCTATTCCTACTCCTAACATGTAAAATGTTATGAGATATAAAATGATTTGCTCCTTTCATGTCAAAGTTAATTTAAGAAATAGGGCTTTGTGTGTTTTTGTTTGTGTATGCATGAAACCAACAATCAATTGGTACATATTACTCGGTGAATTTCGCTAGTAAATGAGTTTGTGCTCACAAATTAATATATAAATATTCCTTTATAGACCAATTTTCATACAAACTGAATAATTCGGTCGCACAAAGTGCAATTCAACTACTCGGTTTCATAGAAGAAGGTGTACATGTCAGTCAGGGCAGACGATATGACGAAACAAACTTTTAGAAGACAAGCCTCTCCAATATCAGCCTTAAGTTTTGTCGAGTGTAGGAACGGATCAGGTTGACAAAAAAATATCGTGAAATGTCAAAACCGAGCAACTAACCTCAAGCAGATCAAGCAACAATAGAACGCCCATTCCACGCGCCACAAACTCCGTCTCGCCTCGTTGACAGCCGATCACGGCCAGTCGAAGACAGTCGAGGCTGGCAAATGCCAGTCGTTCCAGACGATTTAGATACGTGGCCTCAAATGCAGTGTCGAAACGATCGTGAGTTGACAGAGTGTCCTTCGACCAGACCACAGAAGAGCCGATTGGACGGTCGGTCATCTCGAGTCCCTTTTCGTTGTCGTCAAGACAACCGGTCTTTAGCCATACTGGCTCATCACAACCTAGCAAAGCTGCAGCCAGTTGTGATGGTAGACCAGCAAGCAGATGATGCAAGCAGGCGACACCACCGGCGGCAGCGAATCTTTCTCGCCTGAAACCGAGAGCAAACAGAAGACTCGTAGGGACCGATAATACCGGTGTGACCACAAACTCACTACTGTTCTCAAAAGTAGATTTCGCACAACAAAATAAGTAGATCAAATTAATCCAATAAATTTCACAATTCCCTCTGCCTCTCAGAGGGTCTAGGCGGATTATCTTTAGTAGACTTCCACAATATTATGCAAAGTAACATTTTTGAAAGTAACATTGATAGATCAACACATATATATGGAACAGAGTTAACAGAAAAGACAAGGAAAAGTCAATTTTCATGCCAATTCCATATACTGAGATTCTATAGTAAAAAAGTACCGATTCAAGATGCTTCAATATCCTTGATACCTAGTCGTCCTGTCATGCATATGCACCTCGCCCTGGAAAAATGCAACCATCAATCTTACACAATTTTATGTGACCTAATAAAATTATATGAGATGTTTTCACCCTATTTTTTTAATTTAAGGTGATGAAAGACGAGTAGTTGAATTTTCCCACAATGATATGAGTAGAGCTGACGTTCCCATTGAATTTCACGGAGCCTTGTTTTCCAAAAGTTGTTCTCATTCAGGCAATAGTAGACTGCATTTTCGACCTCGCATAGGTCTTATCAACACCCACGGCGGGAGTTGAACCGTGGCAGTGCAGAATGTGAACTTGATACATCAACCACTCAGCTACATTGCCCCGACTGAACTTGGATCACAGGGCAGATGTGAATTTCAAGGAATGCCAGACATTTGCTCATATCGCATTCTTTGGTGGGAGTTTCGATGAATCAAACATATTTTTGCTATAAAAATCTACTACTGGAACATTCTACTACCATTCCTTGATCACCTTAAGCGAAATAGGGTGGTAGTCTCTCGACCATACTTATGTTAAAAAAGAAGTAGTGTAATCGATTGTTACAGCATATATACGTTTGCTTCATCAACAATCCCACCAAAGACTGTGATATTGGAAAAGGCCTGGCCTTCCTTGAAATTCACATCTGCCCTGTAAACCAAGTGCACTCATGGCAATGTGGTTA